TCCAGGAGGTATCAACAAAGGAAATTGGCAACATGGTGAGTCAGCAGTCATCACAGAGAGACACAATGCAATCACAAGCTTCATCTCGGAGAGGCTGTTCATTTGATCGAGTTGGAGATCTTCTTCCTCAGAAGGTACTGCTAGCACCAATCTCAGAAGCTTTCTGCAGTCATTATGATTTGTTGTCATGTATCCTTTACAAAATATTTGGTTCTTGTTGGTGCTGAACCTCTAACACAACATCTCTAGCCCTTGATGTTGTATATGTCATAGTAATGTTATGTTCAGAACTCAGGAATACTTTGCGAGAAAGTGACCAATTAAGACTTTATGCTTGGAGGTTGTTACCATGAAAGATAGAGAAACCCAGCAGCATCAAACATGTTGGACTATTGGACTATCCTGATAAGGGCATGTTTATGATACATTTCTTTTTATTTAGGAAATCAATGTAATTCAGCAAAATTAACTCCTAACGTGGTATATGGGTAGACTAAATTTGTTATCGACCAAATTGTTCCAGTGTTGCCTGTCTTCTATTTCTGCTATAGTCAATTTTTTAATTTCATTGTCAATTAGAACTTTCTTTTATAGTTAAATCACTACGATTCGTGTTAGTTCTACGATTCGTGTTAGTTCTTATATTGGAATTTTCGCTTTCACTACTATTTCCACTTTCACTACAAATGTAATTATAAATGTAACTGTCATTGTAATTATCACTACCACTTAAAATATAACTATCAATACAGATTTGAGAACGAAGATAAGAGTCAATGCAACTATTAATGTGATTAGTCGTATTTGTTGGAGTATCTATGTTACTTAAATGCAGGAAGATCCTTCTACCTGGAAAGATGATCAATTTCTTGTGCAGAATTCAGAGGCATGCTCGGGTGCATCTGGAGAATGCTTGCAGGATTTCTCGAATCAGTTTTCTGTTGATGATGTTCCAGGGCCTCAGGTTGCATCCATAGGATTGATGAGAAGCCAGTATCTTTCAGATCCTTATTCCTTTTCAGGGAATTCAGGTAATTGATTAATTTTTTTTTTTACTTGTTCAACTATTTTTGCTGTTTACATTTTCTTTATGAGGTAAGCTTAAGAATTGGTCAATTCAGTACTTTGTTCATCTAAAGGATTTCAGCACTTAGTGATATTAGATGTCTCAAGATGGTAATGGAATTATTATAAAATGATATGGTAACTTCCACTGGCACTTGTTCATCTTATGAAGTTGTTTATTTTTCTACTTAATGTCTGCTAAATAAGTACATCATACACATGAATGTTGTCTCCGGTTTTGTAGGAAAACTGCTGGGGACTGTGCAGCAGCAAAATGAAAGTGTTCATGTTGTATAGAAGCCCCAGTGGGGATTTTTCGCTAGATGAAGATGTATTTAACCCTATACATGAGGTTAGGATCCATTTTTGAAATTGCGGGAGCACATTACTGCAATTGTTCATTCTGGCCCTCATTAATGTTGTTCATCTGAAGTTACAACAGTCTGCTGTTTGTACAGTACGAAAGTAGAAGAAATCTTTATCTTACTCTAATACTTGTATGAGCAGCATTGTCTTTATACTATTAACTTATTATACGGTTTTGGATATCTTGAGGTCTAATAGTAGAGTCTTAGATCGGAAGATGACCTGGAGTTTAAGATCCTTTTTTTGGATAGGAAAAGAAGTGTTACTAGGAGAGGAAGAAAGTAGTTTAAGTGGATGATAAGACATCTTCCTCGAAGCTTCAAACAGAAGAATCGAAAAAAATAAACAATAACTTAAAAATACAAAAGACCAAGCAGAGGGGTGTAGACTCCAAAACCCTTGTCACTGCAAGATTACCGGCTCCCAATCCCTCATTAGGGTTGAATGACCAGTACAGTGGTAAAGAGTGGAGAAGGGTAAGTGTTGGGACTAACATGATCTAATTTCTCGATTTGTAATTGATGGTATGTGACAACTGAAAAGAGATTTATTAGATATGTCCCTTGACTGTTGTGGCTGTCGAAGGTTGGTGAGAATGGGACATGGTGCTCCAATTCAACAAGATATCAAGTGAGAACTTCCACTGGGTGGACCTGCTAGAGTCCCCACCAGCAAATGCCAATTATGCAGTGTAACAGTCCATACGTGATAGCAACAGAATTGGACACCTTAGTCGTTGTGGACAGGGTTTATTCACTTATACTTATTCGTACATATATTTGGTATTCAACAAAAAAAAAAAAAAAAGAAGTAATTCCCATCTCTAGTGTTATGCAATTTTGCTACATCTGGATGGATTTGTCTTTTGTGTGAAATGATAGGTTCTCTCGTCCAATAAGGATATCCCTGGTTTTGGGGATTTTTGCATGCCAAGCATAAGCAGATTTTTTGGAGGAGATTATGCTTGCACAGATTTTGTTACTGTCAATTGTAAGATGACATAGAAGGTGTGGTTGCTTGTTCTAGGTACCTTAGC